TGAACCCTGAGGACATTTTTGAACAGACATAATAATAGTAGTCATTGGCGTTTTTCTTTATGTTAACGAAAATGCTTCTAAAGGCTATTAAGTCTATTTTTGTTGTTGTTGTTTGTTTGTTTGTTTGAGACATTCTTATTCCGTCACCCAGTCTGGAGTGAAATGGTGCAATCTTGGCTCACTGCCACCTCCACCTCCCGGGTTCAAGTAGAATTACTATATGATCCAGCAAACTCAAAAAAAAAAAGAAAAAAGAAAAAGAAAGAAGGAGAAGGAAGGAGAAGGAGAAGAAGGGAGGAGGAAGAGGAGGAGGAGGAGGAGGAGGAGAAGAAGGGAGAAGGGAGAAGGGAGAGGGGAGAAGGAAGAAGGAAGAAGGAAGAAGGAAGAAAGAAGAAGAAGAAGAAGAAGAAGAAGAAGAAGAAGAAGAAGAAGAAGAAGAAGAAGAAGAAGAAGAAGAAGAAGAAAGGCCTTCCGTGACCACCTTACCCTAGCAAAAGCAGCACCCTCCTCCCACCCCAAGAGACACTCAACCTCATTACCTCCAATCTACAGTTTTCATAACAAAGCAGTTTTCTGGAATTACTTGAATTATTTATCTGATAATTTCCCATTATTTATGTTCTTCACTATTGATAGTCTCCTAAAAAGCAAAGACTTTTTTCTTTACTGTTGCTTTTAGTATCTGACTATTGCTAGGTGGTCAGTAAATACAATATATAAGGTATAATACTGGAATACATACACACAGCCACAGACACAGAGGCACACAAAGACACACACACACACATACACAATACAGGTTATCTGACATATATGATAGTATGTTATACATAGTATATGTTTCATATACATGTGCTATACAACATCTGATGTACAGTGCATAATATACAATGTATAATATATAATAAAGTATATAGCAGTCAATATACAGTATATACTATATGCAACAACATAATATGAAAGTATTTTAAAGATATAAATCTTAAAATTTTTTAGTCCTACTTCTATAATTCCTCCAAAGTCACAAAAACATGGAGAGGAAGAGAGAGAGAAGAAAGAGAGAGGAAGAGATGATGCAATTTGAAAGAGGATCTAGCTGTTGCCAAGCCCTGCTCTACATAGGACTGCACTTGCTTCCCCGTTCTAACTTAAGCTGTCAGAGGAAGGGAGTGGCACCCAGGGGGCACTGGTCTGTGAGTTCCAGAGGCATCATCTTGCTGCGGTATGAGCTAAATGCCAACTCTCATTGTCACCTGCACTACTCCTTGATGAGAGAATGGATCTGTGGTCCCTTTTCATGAAGTGTTGTCTTCTAAGAGCCTTGACATACTAGTTATGGAATAGTAGTAATAAAGGGACTTTACTGGGGCCTGTTTCCTTTCCAACACAGTCCATTCTGGGAGTCATGGAATCCTTCAGTTGCACAGATCCTTGAAGTCCAAATGGACATATAACTAATGAAACAGCATATTGCAGGTATCTTACTTAGATACATTCCTCTGCTTTAGTGCAAAGTAAGAACAGGGAGAAAACTAGGTCATGTTTTTCAACTACTTCATATTTTTCATGTTTTCTACTATTATTGGCCTTTTCCATTAATCTTAAAATGTGATTTTCTACATCTTTGATTTCTACTCTTGAATTGTATTTCCAGTCACCATATGCTACTTTTCTGCAAGCTGTAATTTAAGCCAGTACTGCTCACAAATTTTGAAAAAGGGAGTCCACAGAAGAGAAAACTCTCTCCTCCTCATGTGCTTGGGATGTTGTGATTTCATCAGTGTTGCTGGACTGTGTGTTCCTTTTTAGAGGAAGTTGCAATTCCCTTCATGGTAAATAGGAAGGAAATGAAGGTGATTAAAGCCCTTAGGATGTAAATTTCAGTGTTGGCCAAAAGGTTCTTTTTATCCCAATCCTGCTTTTGTAAACAAAGCTCCAGTGGGACTGAATCTGGAAAGCTACCACAGCTCCATGACAACTGGACTAGCCAGCCATGGTGACCATCTCCATGTTCACATCATAGTCATTTATAGCCATGCATATGCACATCGTAGGGACAAACATTCACTTTGGCTCTCACCAAGAAAAAGAGCATTAGCAACCAATTAGTAGAAGATGGTACAGGAAAGGAACACTACTAACAGGTCAACTTTTTGCCTAGTGAACTCAGCTATAAATTTTTATGGATGATGGTAAGATAAAATTATTGCCCTAGTTTCTGTATGTTGGTCACATAAATGCACTGAAAAGACCCCTAATGTACTGTGATTTCTATTCTTGGACATCAGTGGATGGTACAGGTTTTTCTAGGTATACATACCTATGTGTAAAGAATAAGGAGGTAGCATGACTCTCAAACAGAGATCCAAGGTTTTCTAGGAAATGTCTTTTAACATCCTTCTTATTTTAAAATGTAAAAAATCCTTTACTAGTTATAAAGTCGAAAATACAAAGGAACAAATCTGCTTACACGTAAAGCAACTGAAGCCAAAAGGTCGGCACTATGGAGCAGCCCTGCACATAACACTCCACTGACTCACCTTTGCATGGGGTGTGCTTCTATCCCACAGGGTGGCACTGCTCACAATGGGAATGTAGCAAGGGGATTTCTGAAACATTAGAAACAAGGCATTTAGTATCACTTCAGTAATTCTTAAAAAGAAACATTTCCATTCCTGTGATGGTTTCTAGGCAGATCAGAAGCTAATTCTTTCAAACAATGGCTGTTCATTCACTGAGCACCCGATATTGCCCACAGCACTGTCCCAGGCGTTTTGGGAACAATGGTGAGCCCAAAACACAGTTCCCATCCTCAAGAGTCCAGAGGAAGCCATGGGTAGTAACGAAATAATCACACAAATAAATGTAAAATTTTAACTCTGATATATGTGATGAAAGAGAGAGACAAAGTATTTTGAAAATATGGTGATATATTGGGATGAAATAGAATTAAACATTTACACCCTTTGCCATGTGACTTTGCTGTACCTCCCATAGCCTGAAGCCCATCGCAGCTGAGCCCAATGCAGCCATAGTCAACCCACAGGTTCATGAACATAAGTAAGAAATGAATGTTTCTTGTTGAAAGTCACTTATTTGGAGTTGCTTAGCATGCAGAATTATCACTGAAGACACCTGTGACTGAAACAAATATACAAAACATACAATAGATAAACTCAGGGAGGTCAGAAGAGGTAACCCCTGAGGATCTCACAATGGAAGAGAAGAAATTTACTTAACTATCAAACCAGACATTTGATTTGAAACTTACTTGCAATTTTACTTAAAATACCAAACCTTAATAAGATAATATCAGGATTTGTTTTCATACTTCTGGTTTTCAATTCAGTGCTTTTTATTTATTTAGTTATGCTCCTCAAGGTCTTTGACTTTCTGTTGCCCAATATTTGCTAAAACCAGTCTGTTAAGATTGGTGTCATGAAGGAGAGACCCCCAAAAAATCTATCACCAGGATACAAGTATATGTCAGAAAAACAATGGTGAGTCTGCCACTACCTTTCCCAGAGGTGATTAGAGTCTAAAGCAGAAGGTAGTAACCAAAGAATCACATAAATAAAGTTAAGATTCCAATAACACTAAATGTTCTGAAGGTACAGAAACAGGTGGAGTCAAGGAATATAGATTATGTAGACTTGGGTGAGGGCTAGAGACAGAAACTGAGACAAAAATGGAAGAAGAAACAAGAGCTTCTCTGAGATTAAAGTACCGTGATAGAAGAATGGTGAGAAGAACAGTAGAAGGGGGCCCAAGGGGGAAGAAATAGGTAAAATTACTAGAACTTGGAGTAAATAATTGGGGAGGGTAATAGATTTCACAGCACTGAAGCTGAGTAGTGCTACCACTGTGATGCATTTGTACTGCTGCCAAAGACAGGCGGGGTGCATGGGCCCCCCGATATGTCTTCCCATGAGATCAAGAAAATGTGTCTTCTACCTAGTATCCCTGACATCAACTCTGTGCTGGGCACATGGTAAGCATCCAGTCAATGCATTGAAAGAATGCAGGGGAACTCTCTTGTCATCCCAAAAGGAATGTGGTGTCACAGGGTGTGGAGCCAGAAGGAATTCTAAATTGCCAACATTTGCACTTGATAGATGAGGAAACTGCTCAAGATCACACAACTATGTAGTGACAAGCCAGGGCTCAAATTTCAGCATCTGGACTTTGTATTCTACCCATCGTCCTCTGTTGGGTTATCAGCACACATGCATAGCCTTCGAACCTCAGCTGCCGGTTTGATTGGAAAAGCAATCCCATGTCTGCAGGGAGGGGAAGGAATTTCATTTACAAAGCAAGAATTACCAGGGGGAAAATCAGGCCCATCCCCATGATGTGCATCTCAGTTCTCCTCCTCCATGGACTTCCTGCCACTCACTCAAACCATGTACATTCACACATGTGGTATCTTCCAAGTAGGCAACCCTTGCCCAGGGCAATCAGCACGAAGCACTGAATGCTGTCCCAAACCACCCTGCTCTGATCCATTTTTTATTTCAGTGGAGATTTCTTAGTGCCACTCCTCAGAGCCATGCAAGTTGTGGATGGCACAGCAGGGTGGCATCATTCACAGAGACTGTGATGCAAAAACAGTACCTTTTAGGGTAGTTCAGTGTACCACCTGACCGTCTATACAACGCAGTCCTGAGATTTCTGTTGTCCAAACAACAAGACTTTATGGTAGCCAATAGCCCAAGGAAATCATGTGCATTCTGATTGCCTTGGTTTTTTAATTTTTTATAAAGCATTATTGAGATAAAGTTTATGTACAAATAGCTACATATATTGGACATATCTGCAGGAAGAAAGAACAATTAAGGAATGGGAGTACCTTAGAAACCTTTACCTTGAACTTTTAAGCAAGACGAGGAGTCCAGAAAGAAACAGACTAGGAGTACAGGTAGAATTTCCTGGTAAACAAAAAAGCTATTGTAATCAACAAGGCAAAAATAAATAACTAAAAAGCTTGAAAGAATAAAGTAGCTGGGATATTCATTGCCAGTCATTAACCTGATTTTCTAATGAATATGGTATTAGGCATTCATTAACAATCATTTGTGTTTATGTTGAACAGTGGATGTATAATGAAGGTTGGTAAATGAAAGCAAAATTAAACCAGGGAATTTTGGACACTTATAAAGCAATTAACTTGTTTGGCAGTAATTACACATTGAAAGCTAAATCAAGTGCATTTAGAAAGCCACAAGAGTCGCCACATAAACCAGAGGTGCTTTGCTCTAAAATAATAGAAAAGCCTCTCTTTCTTTCCAAATGAAAGAGAAAGGCAAAAGTATGGTATAAATGACAAACAAGGCTCAGGTCTAATGAAAAGAAATACGGTTACAGCCCATATGTTAGAGAAGAGGCAAGTTATGAAAAAATAGGACAGCTCAGCTAATTAAAGGAGGAAAAAAAAAAAGCCTTTTGTAACAACAATGATGTGAAAACAGGTGGTATGTGCTAGAGAGTTGAGGTTTTTGTTCTGTTCACGCTCATAGGCATGCACACACATGCAAGCGCACACACACGCATCTATACACTTGAACCACCTAATAGGTGCGTGAAGAGTAAAAACTGAATCCACCATCAGGTCCTTGGAAGGCCACAATATCTCAGTAGCAGGTCTTTGTCACTGACGATTTTGTAACATGATTCTCCAGATGAGTGTTTGACCACAGCCTTTTATTCAACCTAGCGCATGGCATTAGAGATCAGTCATTGAACACTCTCTGGGACTCTGTTATTTAAAAAGGAGGGAATAAGGTACTATGGAAGATACAAAGGCGAGACCCAGGGAGAAACCATGACTGAACTGGTGATAAAGCAAAAGCAGTAAACATAAAATTTCATGCATCTACAAGATTCATCAACAGAAATGTTAGTATAAAAATGCATTTAAAATCCAATGAAACTTTCAGATAAGGAATGAATTTTCTCAGAATTTTCAACCCTACAATATACTAGCCAAGAAATGCTACAGAAGTGCTGTTTTTGTGTATCTGTGTGTGTGGAGGGGCATGTTCCAACGGGATGATAAGGCTGGAGAAGGGAGTCTTCAGATGAGCCCAAAGGTCTGAGCAAAGGGATAAAGTTTTTCAAACTGGAGTCTTGATCATGCTCCTCAAAAAGATCTGAAGATTCATGACCTCTTTCTGTCTGACAAATACCTTCACAAATAGGGAGTTGTAGGCTCTCGAGGGTTAGTAACCAAAAGAAAAGTTCCCAGGGGGATCTATAAAGGGCAGCTGGCTTTGTGGAAACATTTGCAAAACGCTTGGGTGTCAACTATGCTGAAAGCAAATACTTGCTTTGCCTCTAAGATTGGAACGGAAACCAGGAGATAGCTTTCGAAATCCTTGCTTCAGTCATTAAACTGCTACCAAATAAAAAAAAAAAAAAAAAAAAAAAAAAACATGTTTGCCTTGATGTGGGATAGTGCATTTCTTTCTAAAGAAATAGTCTCTTTAAAACGATAATCATTTTCTATCCAAGCAGAGGATCAAGACATTAAGATGAAATACTTGTTTCTCACTTATTGAACCCATTTTAAATATTTAGGTTGTCTACTTAGTTCTAATCTAATGTGGATTGTTTCACTTGCAGTTAACTTGGTTAGAAAATTACTGCCTGATTTTGGCCAAGATCTCATCGATATACCAATGTTCTATTTCATTCTCTTTGCAACAGACCCAATGCCATTCTCTGAGACATCATAGGCAAAGGCATTTAAATATCAATAAATTCAGGGAATACATTATTCTTAAAGGCACCTACTACTAATCCAGGGCTTCTTACATTTTACTGTACATCCAAATCACCTGAGGAGTAGCTAAAATGCAGATTCTAATTCAGGAGGTCTAGAGGAGGGCCTGAGATTTTGGTTTTATAGCAAACTCCCAGGTGTTGTTGGTTCTGGAATAGCAAGGTACTGATCTACTGATCTTTGTAGATAGCTGCTTTCAAGAGGTTATATGGTCAAGACAAGACATAACTGAAGCCCTGGAAAGAGATCAGTTCTTCTCCAAGAAGAGACCTGGATAGCGCAATGGATCAGAAATTAAGCAATAGAGGAATATCCATTAGAGATGAAACATACAAGGAAGGGGTCTGGTCACCACTGCTTCTAATCATCTATGTTTCCCAACTGCCATGGCTTTGCCGACACTTTTCTCTCCACTTGTCCAGATGTTGAGATTAAGACAATTCAGCTTATCAAATAGTTATTGGTTTGCCATGTACTATGTTCAGTACCAAGGATACAAAAATAAATGAAGCATAATGCTACCCTGGTGCAATTACAACATAGCAGGATAAAGACTGTGAAAATGGATGCATAAGGTACCGGGGAGCTCATCTACCAGACCTGAGGAGAAGATTTAGACAAATGTGAAGAATCAGTAAACACTTCTTGGAAGAGATGTCAGCTGAGCAAGATGTTAAAGAAAGAGCAAAAAGAAAAAAAAAATCCAGTTGAAAAAGAATAAGTAAAAGTAATGTTAATAGAGGGTCAGCATGGGGAAAGTGTAGACTGAGAGAACATTCTGACTCTGCTATGAGCTGCTGCCAGGTCAAATAGTAGATGTGCCCTGTA